TGTTTTTCATATATCAGTTTATGCATTTATGCACGAATTTCTTTTCTGTTTTTCACTTTTCCTATTTCTTATTTTCAATACTTTGGTTTTTCATTCAATAATTCTTTTCAAATGACTCATACTTTGCTGTTACCCACCCCAAACTTAAAACTTTGCTTGTCTTTAAGCAATGTCATACAATATCACAACATGCCACCCCAAACTTAATTCTGAAAATCATTTTTGGTTAAACTTAAATTGCCTCTTTCTTAAGTGTGGGGGTATTTGATAGTCATATTTTAGTACATCTTTCTCAACATGTTTTTGGTTTAATTGAGCTTCATTAATGCATTATTTTGATGTGTTAGTTTAGATTTGTGTTAGTAAGTAATTTAGGATTTAAATATAAATCTTTCTTAATTCTTGCCATAATTTCTTATTTTGACACAGTTTCTTGCAAAGACCATATTTGAAGCTACACTACTCGGAATTGGACAACATTTGTGTCCCTGGAAAGATAAGACAGAGATATACAACTTCTCTGTTGGAAGAAAAGCCCAGTTCGAGCATCTTCAGGTACAAAATTGCGTCACAATGTTGCGGCCCTCCACTGAAATTTTCAGAATTTGATTGTATTGTTGATTTTACTTAGTTAGGTGTTTAGGAACCTCATTAGGGAGTTGGGCCTTAATTAAGCCCAATTATTTTGTCTTTTACTTAGTTAGGTGTTTAGGAACCTCATTAGGAAGTTGGGTCTTAATTAAGCCCAATTATTTTGTCTTTAAATAGAGGTTATGACTCCATGTACGAATCCTTGTTTTTCTTTTCCCACTCATTAGGAAGGCTCATTCTTGGAAGGTGCAATATTTTGTGGTGGGGATTGATATTGTTGCTGTTTTAAGTTCTCCCATCCCAAGTTTGGATGACTCATCCAACTTGCAGGCTCATACAATGTAGGACAGAAATTAGTATGATGTTCTGGTGAATTACAAATTTCACACAACATTGTAGCCATTTGTGACAATGTCAACTGCTCAATCAAAGAAGCTAAATCATCTAGTTTGTTCTCTAGTCTTCTATGATCAGCCAGATAAAAAATTCTCTGAGCAATAATATCTAAATAAGAATGAAAAGAAATAATTTTTTTCAAAAACCACTAACCGGCCTTTGACTTATTGCCATTATGTAAATCTCGTCGAGCTATATGATATACATATATTACAATAAGAAATAGGAGTTGTATGCAAAAAGTTATGTCACTTTTAAGTTTGGATAGAGATCTCCACGTTTAGATACACGGTCGTGTACTTTTTCGACAAATGCAGAATGCAAAAATGCAGAAACACAACACAAAATGTAGAAAATTGAATGATGTAATACTAAGCAAGGATAGATGACTACCTACTATGCTATTCAAAGGCTACTAAAATAGAATGCATAGACACAATTATGCTAAATGAAAAATACTAATTATGCAGAATCCTAATTCGATGAAAAACACTAAATATGCAGAATCCTAATTCGATGAAAAACGTTAATTATGCATATTCCTAATAAGATGTAAAATGCAACACAGAATATGCAATACAATCACACTAAAACAAAATTACATAATCAAATAACATCATCATCCCCGGCAACGGCGCCAAAATTTTGACCACGAGTGTCGCGCTCGGACAAATTATTAAAAACCGAATTGCATAAAAATTATGTAGTATGAGGTGCAATCCGAGTCATCTCCCAATGATGATAATGTTATACGATAATAAATTTTGATGGGGTTTGATTTATAAAATAATGCTGATTAGAAAAAAAAGTTAACAAGAATTTAAAAACTCTAATCCAAGAATTTAGAAGAACTACGACCACTCTATCACCGGATTCCAAGAAGATGCATCAACTAACAAATTAGTGATTAACATTAAATTTGAATGAAACCTCAATTCAAATTAAGCATTCACACGAGAACACTCATGCATTCGATTAACACACAATTCGCTCAAAGTTCAGAAACCTCTAGAACCTAATCGATTTGTGTTAATTTAATTCACCAATGCCATTAATCTTAGATCTCAAACTTGAAAATCTAATTCACACTCCTTCAAGAATTAATTACATACATCAACCGAATAATATATAATCAAACAACTGCAAAATTATCAATCCAAATGAAGAACTTCAATTCAAAATCATAATTAGCAAAAGGAGAAAGAAGGAAGAGATGAAACTGAATTTGTTGTTGAATAAATTGTGAAACCAATCCTCAAGAGTGTCTCAATCCTTTTTCAATTCTTGGACTAGATGGAAATCTAAGCCTCTATGGATGGAAGGAAACAAGTCATAAAAGGGGAGAAAAAAAAATGAGAAAGAGAAGAGAAGAGAGAAGAAGACGAGCCAAAAAAATTAAAATTCAAAATTTAAAAATTTCGTTCGTCACTTTGTTCCATTTTTTCGGCTATGAAAACAGCCTCCTTTTGGTTCGTATCCTGAAGGAAAATTGTAGCCTTGGATATTAGCTTCAAAATGCCACTAGAACGGGCTTAATCGGATATCTGTGGACTGAGATATGGCCCAAATACTGCACCTTACTCAGAATCCACGACTGCAGCGTTTCTACTTTTTCCAGGCCCAGTTTCAGCTTCTTATCATCAGAATTGGTTTCTGAGCTCTCATAAGAATTGTGCCCCTTTCTCTAAGCTTTCCTACAAATCAATAATTAGAATGAAATAAGTTCTACAACTCAAGATATGGTCCAGAAAGCAAAACAGTATCAAAATTTGCCGAATACTGGAAAAATTAAATAAAGCCCAAATAAAATTCAAACATCATAAAATGATCCAATTCAATCCAGTTTGGCAAAAAAGAGGATTAATGATCTAGGAATGAGAGGAAATAAGGTTATAAAAATCCAATTGATCACTTATCCCTAAGAAAATCAATAGTTTTAGTGATTAATTCAGATCCAAGCAACAAACCCAATTTGCATTAGTGAAGGTTACTCTTTAACTAATCAATTGAATTTCCATTCAATGATCAATTAAACACAGAATTAATCCTTCAATCAAATCAAATACTCAAAGTTCAGAGTCAAAACGAAATCAATATATCAATTCTAGATCCATAAATCCCTAACAAAAAAAGTTAGAAACACATTACAATGAAATGGAGAGAAGCAAGAAGAAAAGAAGATGAAAAGCAAAGAGCCATCTCCAAAACTTTGCCTTCCCCCAGATTCCTCTAGCAAAGAAGAACAAAAGTCACTCCTCCCTTCTCCCTCTGACTTCTCTTGGAAGTTAAAACGATTACAAAATGAATACCAAAAACTAAAAATGACAAAATGCTTCTTTTCTAAGTTTCTAATTCCTATTTATAGAGTTCCCCTAATTTTTTGACTTAACCCTTGAAATTCTGATAGTTAGTTATCCCCAGGTGTTCTAGAATCTTCTAAAAGTGATATAGAAGCTTCAAACGTCTAAAAATTGGCAAGAAGAAGTTATAAAGTTGCAAAATTTTGCGCCAAAACGCGCAGTAGCTGGAGTGAAGGCGCACAGTTGCGCGCCTTAGCTGCATGTGATCTGCGTTCCCACGCTCTTAGTGCCAAGGCTTCAACTGATGTTCGTTGTCAAGCGCAAAGTTCCAGTCTAGGCTTTACTTGGATGCTCAGTTTTGCGTTGCCACACCCTGCACTATGAGTTACAACGCGCTCTTGCGCGCCAAGGTTTCAAGTGATGTGCGTTTCAATGCACAACACTTTAATGAATGCTTCTTCTATGTGTTTATCTCTGCGTTGCTATGCCATCTGCTATGCGTTTCTATGCCTATTGCTCGCCAAAGTGCCAGGTGATGTGCGTTTCAACGCAATGACACTTATCGACTTTCAGTTGCTAGAGTGTTAACGCGCATCACTCAGAGTAGCCACGCAGACCCAGTGCTGTATTTTGTTCTTTCCATGTTCAAACGCCAATCACTTGGAGTTGTAACGCCCAGCTCTTAGGATTTCTTCAAGCTTGATTCTTTGACTATTCTTCTTCAATTTCAGCGTTTACTCCTTCCTTTAAGCACTTTCAACAACTTCCCATCTTTTTGCATGAACTCCTACAAAAATCTAAACAATTTTAATATTTCAACAAAACAAGAATTTATACTAATTATTTTATTTTTGTGATCTTTTCAAGTTTATTTTAGAACTATTTTCTTAATTATTAACCAAAAACTATGCTAAAATCATGGTAAAATATGGGTTTATCAGCTGGCGCCCTCCAAAGTAATTACTTTCATTCTTTCATAGTAAATACATGCAGCATCAGTTGGGTTTTACCTTTCTGGAGTGATTACTATGAAAGTTCATAGTAACCACGCGCAGCACTGGGACATTTTGGACTCTCTGGAGTTGTCACTATGAACTTTGATAGTAACTATGTGCAGCACCTTTAATTCTGCATGCTCTGAAGTGATTACTATGAACTTTCATAGTAACCACGTGCAGGTTTAGTGGATTCTAGGTTGTTGTAGTTGTCACTTTAAGTTTTGAAAGTGATCACTTTGGTCCCTTTGCTGGAAGTGGCTTGCTGTAGTTATCACTATCAATCTTGAAAGTAGTTACTTTCACCTCAAATTCCTCAAAATCCAATAATTCTTCAAAATAAGCTTGGGGATTCCTGCCACATTATTCAAATGATCAAAACATGTAAATAAACTATATAAATCAATGTAAATTAACCAAAAACTAAGAAACCTATATTATTTAGCCTAATTGGAATATTCATCTTATTTACACTATCTAAGTCTATTCTTTTCTATAAAAAGTAATAAATGATGTATAAAAATTTAGTAAAATGTGGATTCATCATCAAGCTAATCACTTTGAAATAAAACCAGCCTTACTACATTGAAATTTCTGATGATCCTAATTTGTATATTTCAAATTTTTTGCAGTTATGTGATACTATAAGAATGAATAGAGTAAGTGAAGATGCCATAAGACTGAGATTATTTCCATTCTCTCTAAGAGACAAAGCAAAATGTTGGTTACAAGCTCAACCACAAGGAAACATCACAACTTGGAGAAGGTTCAATTTCTGGGACATGTGATTTTGAAAGAAGGCATTGTTGTAGATCCTTCTAAAGTTGAAGATGTTTTGAAGTGGGAATCACCTAAGGCAGTCACTGAAATTAAGAGTTTCTTAGGTCTTGCCGGATACTATCGCCATTTCATTGAAGGTTTCTCAAAGATAGCCACGCCTTTGACTCGCTTGACTCGCAAAGATCAACCTTTTGAGTGGAATCAAAAGTGTGAGGACGCTTTCCAAAAGTTGAAGGTGAGATTAACTTCTGCACCAATCTTGATTCTTTCCGATCCTTAAGAGAAATTCGAGGTCTACTATGATGTTTCGCATCATGGACTTGGATATGTGCTAATGCAAAATAGAAAAATGGTAGCTTATGCGTCTCGTCAGTTGCGCACTCATGACAAGAACTATCCAAGTCATGATCTCGAACTTGCAGCTGTAGTTTTCACATTGAAGATATGGCGACATCATATTTATGGGGCAAAGTTTGAGATGTTTAGCGACTATAAGAGCCTGAAGTACTTGTTCGATCAAAAGGAGCTAAACATGCGACAGAGTAGATGGATGGAATTTCTCAAGGATTACGATTTTGAGCTGCATTATCATCCTGGCAAAGCGAACATTGTAGTGGATGCTCTAAGTCATAAGTCCATTCATGTGTCATTCTTGATGATCAAAGAGTTAGAGATGCTGGAATTATTTAGGGAAATCTTAAGATCACTAATGAGTTCTTGGAGCAAGTAAGATTGGCTCAAAGGGATGACCAATATTTGTTGGAAAGGCTAGAAGCAAGAAAGAAAGGGAAAGAATCCCATATTTACCAAGATGAGGAAGGATGGATCAAGTACAAGGAGCAGATTTGTGTTCCTGACAAGGAAAATTTGAGAAGAATGATCTTAGAGGAAGCTCATAAAAGTGCTCTCAGTATTCATCCCGGATCCACTAAGATGTATCAAGACTTGAAGAAGAGCTTTTAGTGGCTTGGAATGAAAAAGGCAGTAGCTGAATTTGTAGCTGCATGTCTAACATGCCAAAAAGTGAAGATAGAACATCAAAGACCGGCCGGACAATTGCAACCGTTGAGTATTCCTAAATTGAAATGGAGTGACATCGCAATGGATTTTGTTTCTGGTTTTCCAAAAACTAGAAATTGATGTGATGCTATATGGGTTATTGTGGATTGACTCACTAAGTCAGCCCATTTTCTCCCAATGAACTTGAAGTACTCTCTAGAGTGATTGACTCAGTTGTATATCAAGGAGATTGTGCGACTCCATAGTGTGCCAAAAATATCGTATCAGACAGAGATCCTTGTTTTACTTTGAGATTCTGGCAAAGTCTTCATCAAGCTCTAGGGACAAAGCTGAAGCTTAGTTCAACCTATCACTCTTAAACCAATGGACAATCAGAGAGAACTATCGAAACTTTGGAAGATCTTTTACGAGCCTGTATGCTTGAGCAAGGAGGCCAATGGGAACAACATCTTCCTTTGATCGAGTTCACATACAACAACAACTATCATTCAAGTATTGGCATGGCACCATACGAAGCGTTGTACGGACGTTGATGTCAGACACCTTTGTGCTGATACGAGACTGGCGATAACTTGTTTATTGGCCCTGACATAATCCAAGAAACCTCCAAAAAGATCAAAGACATTCAAGGGAGAATGAGGATAGCTCAAGATCGATAAAAGAGTTACCATGATAAGCGAAGGAGACCCTTAGAATTTGGGGACGGAGACCACGTATTTCTAAGAGTAAGCTCGACTACTGGAGTAGGTAGAGCCTTAAAGTCTCGCAAACTCCACCCAAAATTCATTGGTCCTTACCAAATTCTAAAGAAGATTGGAAATTCAGCCTATCAAATTGCGTTACCTTTGGAACTATCCAATCTCCACAATATTTATCATGTCTCCCAACTTCGTAAATAGATTCCTGATCCTTCACACGTGGTGGTACCTGACCAAATCTCCTTGAAAGAGAACCTGACTTTTGAGGTTGAACCTTTTCGGGTCAATGATCGAAAGGTTAAACAGCTCAGGAATAGGGAAATCTCTCTGGTGAAAGTGCATTGGAATGCTAAGAATGTGGAAGATGCCACATGGGAAAGAGAGACCGACATCAGAAATGCCTATCCACATCTGTTCAACTCAGGTTAGAAATTTCGAGGACAAAATTTTTTCTAAGAGGGGTAGTCTTGTAATGCCCAAATTTTGAAAAATAACTAGCGACTCTTAAATTGTAATTACTTGCTAATTCCAACTTGCTAGTATCAGAATAATTAGATAGATGCTGATTTTTATTTTTATAGAATATTGATTGATTTCTGAGTTCGGCATTTTAGAGTAACTGCATGCAGTATATTTGGTTTCAATATCATCCAAGAATTTCTTTGATTATGTTCAGCTGTACTGTCTAAAATACCCCTGATAGTCTTATCCGAAAAGTTAATTTTTATGCTATTTAAATTATTGTCAAATCATAATTATCTGCCTCAAAAAACGTGAGATTTAGTAATCATTGTATTAGATTTTCAATCATTTCTTAGCCATCAAAATTATTGAACGGAATCTCACGAAATCTAGTAATCATTACTTCAAAGATTTCCAAATCTTGTATCGGCCACTAGATTTTCATGCAACGGGACCTTGTCCACCAATTTGCAAACATCGTGATTACCTGAGTCTTCCAAAATCCAGTATTGGCCACTAGAATTTCATGCAAGAAGATTTTGTCTTCCGATTTGCAAACATAAACATTTTGAAACATTCTTTTCTTGTCTTCCAAAATGCTGACACCATGATTGCTTTAATCAATTACCTTTTCTTGAATTTATCACCACATCAAATGTCTCGTCCACATGTCAACCTAGTCATGTCGCATTCTTTTCTAGCCAATCGAAATTCATGCATTTGTTGCGTAAAATCTAAACCTTGGAATTTTGTGCCAATTTTTTGGAATTGCTCCACCAAAACCGTGTGCATGCAGCCTTAAACTATTCCATACATTTTGCTGGCCAAAATGTACTAACTTTGCTTGCAAGTTTCCTTAACAATTCACTATTCCTACACTAAAAACTGTGACACCCTCTTTATCCAATTTTTCACCAAATTGACTTCAATTTCATACCATTTGAACCTTGTGCAGTTTTTTTAAAAACTTTGGAACCTTGCCAAGTAAGCCAAACTGTGAGTGTTTGGTGGCAATAGGCATTTTAACCCTCCATATAAATAGACTTGCCAAATTCAATTGCACATTTTAGAAGCCAAAAACCGTGATCTCCCTTCTCATTTTCTCTTACTTTGCTCTCTTATTTCTCCATTCTCTCAAAGTCTCACACTCTCTCAAGCTCTTCCAAAGGAACCGAGAGGTTCCAGCCCCAAAAATCCCACCACCTCTCCATCACCAACATCTTCCTCCACCATTCCTTCAAATTTCGTGTGGAAGAAGCTCACTTTGGAGGAGAAACTTGAAGATCCTTGTTGCTATTTTTTGGTCCAGCAAGCATGCCTTGGAGATCCACCATTTCCAGTCCTTTCTTCAATTTCACGCCCAAAACTCAAAGGCAAGGGGGAGTTCTCACCTTTCTACCTTTTACTTGCTTTCCTTGGTTGAATTTGTATAAAACCTTGTAAAGATTTCATCTTTGTCTTCACTAGCCTTGAATAAATAGAAAGCCTACTTTGCATGTCAAGATTTTATCTTATACTTCACTTTTTGGTCTCCAAATTCTCGGTTTATGCTTGGATGAGTTGATTCCTTTGGAAAGTTTAAAATTTTATCACTTGCATGTTGAGTTTTCACTTTGTAAATCACTTCCCTCACTTCTATAGTCTCGGTTTTGCTTTGCATGAAGAAATCTTTTAGAAAGTTTGAGTTTTTGACCCTTACATGTGGTATTCTTCCTTTGTACGTTAATTTTGAGTTTGCAATGGTTGGAATTTCCTTGTGCATGTCTCGAATTTGTGGTTGTCTTGTTAGATTTCTTGAGTAAATGATAATCTACCCTTTGAGACCTTAGAACCTTAAGCTTGTATGCCTTGGACATCTTGTTACCAATCTTGATTTTATAAAAAGAGTTTCTTTCATGATTCTAAGAGTTTGAATGCTAAATTGGCCTTGTATTGTCTCGGTTTTGTCCTTATAATTATGAATGTCCTTTGAAAATAAAATTCCTGCACTTAGATGATGAAACCTTATATTTGCATGTTGATTTTTCTCTATTTTGGTTATTTTGGACTTGACGAAAAATGAGTTGTAAGGCTGGACAATTTTGATTGTTAGGAGAGAAAGGATAAAACTTACATATTTTGGAACCTTGGAATATTTGGAAAGGATTGGTGTGAATCATTGGAATTAATTTCATAAAAAGAAAAGGCCAAATTGCTTGGATGATCTTGGTTTTGGCATTGAAAGTGTTGCAAAAATTGGAAAATATCTTGCATGCCTTGTCTTGTGTAAGGAGGCCAAAATGAACTTGAAAGTGTCTTGTCTTTGCTTGATTTAGGTGAACCATGCTGAACTTGCTTGATTGTCAAGTGGATTGTTGCTTGTGCTTTTGTATGATTGAAATTGGAATGAAAGTAAGTGCATGACTTGATTTTACTTTGCCATGGTGCTGAAAATCAAGAGATTTACTTGGGTGAATATGCTGGAAAAATGTAAAGATGTGAGATAAAGTACTATTCATCCTTGATAATTGTGTTTAGAAAACCTTAAGGTATGTTTGAAGTGATGCTTGGCTGAAAACTTGGATTGCTTGCTATTCATTATGAATTATGCTATGGAATTACTATTTGAGAGCATCACATGCGTCATTTGCATACCTTTATGAAAGAATTGATGAGTTATAATAATGTGCAGCGAAAATGATTATATAATGTTGTGGTGTTGATAATCTAGAGCCTTTGAGGGCTGTTTGATGAAAATGGACCATGAATATTATTGGATTTATTGGAGATGTTACAATCTAGTTGTGTTATGAGTGATTGAGTATGGAGAATGAAAATCAGCATGTGACCTATGAGAAAAGTGTGAAAAAATCGAGAGGATAGGACTTTGAACAATTGTGAATTAAGTTGATTAAGTTGGTGATATAGAAAGAACCTAAGTTTGATTGATCTTTCCTAATAAAGAGTAAAAAACCGAGAGGTAACACCCTTGAATTATTCTGAATTAACTTGTTTGATTGATGGTTAGAGAGGAATTAAGTTTGATGATTCGTTCTTTCATGGAGAGAAAAACCGAGAGGAAGAAATCAAGAAAGCAAGAGTTGAATTGAATGATTTATGG